TTCCGGATCTCCTAACCTTCCGCCGCGCCCTCAAGACATGGCTTTTTCAGCAAGCGGGACTGACCTAGGGTGAATTTTAAATAGGGATAATTTTTAATGATTTTAATAAGAGACACAGCTACAAATATTTGGTTTTTAATTGGCTTTTATTGGGGAAATGTACTATGTTGTTTTAATATGCTGTGAGCCGCCCTGAGTCTCGTGGGGAGAAGGGCGGCATATAAGTCTTAAAAATAAATAAATAAATAAATAAATGAAGCTCTCGCATCACCTTGGGTCCTTTAAAAGACTTGGTGTGGTTTTGTTTTTTAATATGGCAAAAAAGGAAAAGCATTAAATGTATCCAAAGTACTTACTGTTAACTTCATTTAAGTAATTTAATTTTAATTCATCTGAACATATACATTTTATGATATCTAATTCACTTTTATCTTCAGATGGCCCGCTGAGAAAAAAAAATCCAGACATTTCTTACATGGGGGGAATAAAATACAGAATGTGTGATGCAATATTCTATAAGTGTACAAGACGATGATTTTGTTTTTCAGTGAGAATTTAGAGCACCAAAAGAAAGCCGCAACCCCAGTGTGATTTACAACACAAATCTCTTACCCATAGAAATAAGATGCATTAAATCATGAACAATCTTACAGCATGGAATTCAACTCTTAATTTATTGCTCTTCAGCCATATGCCTTAATGAGATCTTAAAAAAATATCAAATGCAAGACCTTTTAGCACAGAGTGCAGCCCATCTTCCAATCTTCAACACCACTAATTAAATATATTTGCTATTGAGACAAAATGTGTTTGGAGAACTTGGAGCAACCATGTTTTATAGCAGGGAATTTTAATAAAACACCATGTTTTCACCTGCTGCTCCAATTTTTTAAATTTCCCACGGGACAAAGAAATGCACAATTTAACTCATCAGATGGGTAATAAATTCAGGAGGTGGGGAATAAATAAAGTCAGGAGGTGGGGAATAAAATTATTCACAAGCCAACTCAAGATTTTACTGCAACTGGGAAATTAGGAATGATCCAATGGCATTTATAATGGGAGAAAAAAAATAGATTCTGCTATAGGTGGGCAATTCTTTTGTTTGTTTTTTTTAGAAAGAAAAACAAAACTCTTTTCATGCATCCAATTATTGTTCATTATTTTGTTCTGATTTTCAGTTCTGGAATACCACACAGGGTACCAAATGGCTTTGATTATCTGCTCGGGCTATAAAGCCATCCAATTCATATAGTGATCCTGGAGGGTGTGCAACAGAAAAAAGCAACAATAAAACAGAAAAAAAAATCCAAGTAACATAAAACACAAACATTATATAAACCAAAAATAGAAAATGATGGCCGCTATAATAAAGAAAATTAAAAGGGGACTCAAAGCGACAAATCATAAGTCAAGGATTTCCTGTACCCAGGTATAAATTGGCAGCTCTTGAAGGCTGCAAATTAGGGAAGCTGTCTACTCAACGCACCTGACAAAGCTGAATTGTAGAAGACTATGTGTGAATTGTCTCTGGTGCATACAGAGTTTGGTGCTGAATTTATGCATTTCCTCCCTCTCCTGTCACACCTTGGCTGTTCTCTCAAGGGCAGTTTTGCGACAGATAACTCTGCAGCCCTGGCCATTAACAATCTGAATCTTCCTGCCAAAAGAATCACTTTAGACCTTTCTAAACAAGCCAAGATATTTCTGACTCTGCCTGGCAAAGGTTGGTTAGGAAAAGCACAACCCAGCTACGGCATATGTTCCTGATCATTTTCGCCCATTTTGCTTTTGAAACATGAAAACAAGGCTGGGCAAAGGCTTCTATGCAGGGTTATGCTCATTTCTGCAAACATGCACATTTCTGAGGGTGAAGATTCGTTCTCCGAGCTTGTGGGTTGGTTTCTGAACATTTTGTTACCAGGATAGGTAACACCTTCAGCGGAGTTTAGGGGGTGTCAGTGTTCTTCTGCTTATAAGGGCTTCAGGTGTGGGT